ACCCTTTTTAACTCTAGGTTAGGTGCTTTTTCATCTAACTCGCGGAATCGTACATGAAGAGAACAGAAAAGTTTTTACATGTGCGAGTGACATTATTCCCAAGGGAGAGAGCCAATCAGACTAAAAAGTATCCGATATTCTCAATTTTCTACGCTTTGACCTTTTTTTCCATGTCTAATATTAATGTATTTCATCACAATATAATTTTCTATATTTTTCCCATTATAACGTCATTAAAAAATCATATCATTAAAAAAATCAGCAATGTACTTCTTTAAATTAACAATGAGTTTTATTTCAACATTTTTTTTGGAATAAAAAATTTAAAAGATTCTCTTGAAACTAAATGTTATTTCAAATTTTGTTTTACGATTACAATTTGATAAGACGCATATGACAATATTGATTCACAAATATACGTGTGATAACAACAGATCAAGGTGCCAGAAAGATCTATCTCTTCCTTCCCCAGTAAATTTTTCAATAGTAAGGTAGATATGTCGTCCTGTATCTTAATAAGTGATAATGCATGACATTTGCCATCCAAGAGAGGGCATTAATAGCTACAGTTAATAGACTAGACATGTTGTCACGAAAGTCGACAGCTAAAATACGACGAAACGACGCGACTAATTCAGAGAGATCACTTCCGTTGAAACACACGAATGATCTTCTCGTAAATTGGTTTGCATCTGGGATGCAAAAATACCAACTAACGTCGGGCCAATGTCACCGGCTGGATTAGCGTTGAAATCTCGGTGGAAATGCACGGTTTAGCGGATCAAGTGCGACTTTGTTTTCACGTTTCACGCAACGTTGCGGCGCGAAAACATTGCGAGTTGAGCGAGTTGAGCGATTTCGCCCGCTCGCTCGCCTGCGCTCGTTCGTCGTGTGCGTGCGAAAAGAGAATCGGGCGCGAACGCGCGTGGGTGCGGGGCGGTCTTGGCAGAGTTGGCCCTAACCCATATACCGTCGCAGCCAGAATAGAGATCAGGCGGTCGAGAGCGAATAGGATAAGAACACAGGTAACTTTATAACGGCCGGGAAAACGCAGTATCGTATTGCTAGCGGCGCGCCTTTATCTCTTGTTTTGATTGATGTCTCGATGTTGATAAAACATTTGAAATATCGACATATCGACATTTCCTGTCGTATTATTTTTCTGGAAACTTAAAGAGCTTTGAAACTCTAAATTTAATTTTTATTCAGCCGTGAGATAATTAAAAAAAAATCCTAGATTTTAATTTTTATGCAGTCACGATTTTAATAAAAGATTATATTTGATTTTATGAGTATTGTTTTTATATATATTTTTATATTTAATAGCGATGAAATTTTGCACTATTTCCTTCGAAATATGGCATTTGATAAATAAACCAAGATAACTCTGATACTTAATTTTACTATTTGAACTAGCGTTATGCCATGATCACCAAGCTACAACGAAAAGCTGGTTGATAACAAGAAGAAAGAATATTTTTCTAGACTTTTCGGTGCAATATTATCATTAATAAAACAATTTATGCTAATAACAATCAATTAAAAAATTAACGAAAAAGTGTTAATCGTGTTATAACGATTATATTCTAAAACAGGAAGTATGTCAGGTTTTGTCATTATAAGGAATTAAATAAAGCTATAATAATAAGTGCTAATTATAAACACCCGAAGATATTGTATCACATGTATAAATTCTATTTATCTATTTTCCTATTATATTTTTCTATTATATATACATATTTTTCTGATACTTCTGTGTCTTATAGAAAAAAAAGCGGCAGACAAAAGAATAATGTGTAATATTTACGGAGTTAGAATAACATATTATATATAATATTTACATTGCAAGAATTAATGTAAAGTATCGCAATTAAAATAATTAGAATAATGTATACATTAAGATTAAAACAACATAACAATCTAAATAAAATTTAAGTGGATGGGATTATTTAAAAAGACGATGAATTATTCGGTAAACAATATTTCAATTTAATAACGTTTAGTATTTGATAGAGAACATAAAATAAATGCTTTTAACAAATTGTCTTTCGAAAATTTAACATTTCCTGGTTAATAAATTTTGTCGAGAACAACACTATGAATCATTTGTGTAAGCAAGAAAATGCTCTCATGACCGACTGCCTCGACGATACCAGAAGTTGGTGCTCAGCTCGGAGGAACGCTCGAAAAATGAAGGTATCGTGTACGAGCGTTGGCACAGCTTGTATCTAAAACTAGAATCGCGACGACACGTGCGTGTAGACATTTGGGCGTCAAAACTTGGCGCATTATGTCAGAGATGCGGCATAATAATAAAAGAGCGCTTCCGTGAAAATGTTATCGAACATGAAAAAAAGTGGAAAACTTTTCAGTTTGTTCAGTAGCGTTGTTTTGATGTGAAAAAGTTTATTGCTCACATTTTACAATCGCGTTATATTATTAAGCGATTATTCTCCTGCCAGCACTACTTAAAATACTTTACATATAAAATATTAATAATAACGTATAATTTCAATGTCAAAGTTGTGTAAATATTTGAAATACCTTCTTCATTCTTCTAATAAAAATTCTGAAAAATAAATATTTACTTACTTATTGTATTAATCAGACGCATTTGTGGTAATTAAACTAAATTTTTAGAATGTCATGAATTTTTTTATCTTACTTTTATCACTGATTAGATTACATTGTTAAATTTGGACCTTGAGGCCAATTTTTAAAAATAACTGTTCAGTTTATGAAAATTAAGGTTCTGTACAATACGACTATTAGAGACTGATATTGGGAAAAGCAAATGCATATAGCAAATGTATACAGCAAATGCTAAAATACTTTTCCTGGATTGAATTTTGTTTTGGTATTTTTTTATGCATTTTAATATTCAAAGTTTGATGATTATCATGCAATAATCTAAATTTTATTTTAAAATTTTGACACTGTTATAGTATTCAACTTAAAGATTATCGTTCGATAAGTTCGAAATAAATTCACTCAAGATGTTCAAGAATTGATATATAAGACAACAGATTGTTTCGCTTTATAAAATTTAAGAATCTTGAGTTTTTAATTGCGTCAGAAAATTGGATTGCAATTGTAGCGAAAAACGATGCATCTAAACTTCACACGTTGCATTAAATAAAATTTGTCAGTGGTCGCTAAAATATTTTATCAATTAACAAGTTTTTATATAATATTGATTATATCATAAAACAATATTTCCGAGAACAATTTTGTATGCGTTTCTTATTTTTGATACATGTTCAAACTATCCGCAGTTCAAAGATTCCGCACTGCATCGTCCTGGTAACGTATGCACCTTGTGAATCCTCCTGCATCAATGTCCATTCCAATTCTTCGGAAGTATTCCGTCCGGCATTTCACTTTCATTCCTCGTACACTCGTCTGCATTCTGTGTTTCAGCCGGATAACATATCGGTGCGTGCATACGAAGCGACGCCATACATTGTGTCACGTAGAAACACAATAAATTGTTCGCGAGGATCATCAAACCAACTCGCGAGTTCGCGTGAAGCTCTGGAACGAGCAGAGAACTTCTATTTCCTAAGAATAACTCTCGATAGAACTGAACTCGATAAAACTGAAGAGCGAGCATCGAACTTCAAAACACTTGAGGTATGTATATGATGAAAATATTACGTATTTTATTAATTTTTCAGGAATTTAACTAAATTATCTGCACGAAATTTACTTCTCTTGTTTAATTATTACATATTCTTTTTATCACGATCAATAAAAAGTATGCTTATCTGAAGTAATATAAACATTGTTTTATAACTACAATGAACTCTTGTAGAATTCGTTTAAGCAATTTTATATTTTAATATATTTAAGATTCTGTACAATTTTTTTTCCGTCTTATTTTTAATTGACGCCGACGAAATACCTTGTTGCGACTTCGCTATGGTTTTATATCGCGACATGAAAAACTCGTTTCGCTAATTACGTCGCGCGGGTGATGCGCTTCCTCGTGCGCTTCGTGCGCATCGCGTATGTTCGTATTTGTGTGATTCCAGATGCGGGCACGTGCGTTCGCGCGAACACACGTGGAACGCCGTATCCTGTTCCGCGCAGTCCGCTACAACGCTCGTCACGCTCGTCACAATGGTGCTAATCTATTTAATCTGACTAACAACAAACTTATCTCGTGACTCACTCACCGCGATGGATTCGCGCTGTTGCTCCGATACGTTGCTTACCATACATGCACTTCGTATGTGTGTGTACTCGCGGATTTTTCCGGTGGATTAATAGTCGGCTACTTTACCGTCCCCCTTTGTACGGACCCGTAGAAATCTCCCTTCGGTGCAACTCGCCTCCCGCCTTGACCGCACACACGATGTCATTTAGCTCAGGCGAGAACGCGGAGATAATGATGCTTGATTCATTATCTTCTGACAGTTTAAACCTCAACCCTTTCAAACACTTGGATGAATTGATTTCGATAGTAACTTTCACCTTTTTTTTCTGCAATTAATTTACGATAGAATATTTCTGTACTGGAACATATTTGTTATCGAAAAAAGTATAAAAATGCGTTGAAAATAATTTAGAAAATATGCAAATATACTTGGGATTCTATGAGAAAATTTTAAAGTTAAAACTTGGTGTAAAATAGATTGCGCATAATAAAATAGCTAAAATTTAATATTTACATTTGTATGACGCGCATTTGTATAATGCGATAGATGTATGCATACAAATGCTTACCTGTTTAGTACGGCATGTATGACATAGCGCATAAAACATTGTAATGCAAATATTCTACATGTAGCTGTTCAAATTCTTAGAATTTACTACAAGAAAGATGTTATCTTGTTCGGAAAAGTAGTTTTATGTATGAAAGATTTAAGAGTGTCAACATTAAATTTACGAGTTAGAGGAAGACGAAGAGTTAGAGGAAGGGAGAAGTATGGCGGAGGGGGAGCGAGGCAGGAGATAAAGAAAGCCGGAGATAAAGAAACAAAGGCAAATGCGTTGCGTACGTTTCATATCAAAATATATTTATGCGTAGATAATAAGACAACCATGAAGGTAATCTTGTATCCTAGCATCATACGTCAGTCATACACCAAGGCACGCGTGCGTAACGTCACATTCACACTCGCTGCACGCCGACACACGCGGTCGCGCTCCTTCGCGTAATTAAATCGCTCGCGCGCGGGTATGCGTACGATATGTGCGACCGTGGCGAATGCACGGCGCACACCGGCTACCGCTGCTGCTGCTGGCTTTTCTCGCTGGCAACGATTTGCTTTACATACGAGCGACGACTTCGCGAAGATGAAGCCCTGCTTCATACGACTGTACGCTTATTACAGAACGATCAGGTATATCATTCGGCTCTTCCGCCTCTTGATGATTATATCAGCCCCTTCGGCCTATCTCGCCGCTAATAAAATATGCAATTACAACAATTCGTCTCTCCCGACGCATTCGCGGTACGCGCGGTATCACACACGCATACACATGTTAACAGAATCACACACGCATGCATACGATACTGCTTGACCATTCTCCGGTCTCTTCTCTCGCGCACACACACACACACGCACACACACGCGCGCGCGCGCGCGCACGCTTTCTTGCTTCTCTTCTAACAAAATATATTAGCTTTTATGTACATATACGTTTCGAATATAATAATAATAAAATTAATAAGAGCTATAATACAAGAGAGTGTGAATGAGCGCTCGTATTGTGTTGCTCGGCCGCACTTCGTCAAACACGAGCGCGAAATCGAAAACTTGGCGAGAAAAGATGAATATTGAAAATATTCATATCGACATCTCTCGTTGATACGAGTCACATGTGATATAGATTGTCGTGTTTGCGACGTGTCTCGGTATGTACTTTTGTTTTTTTTAGGTACTGGGAAGGCGATAGTCTAAGTTCATTGATTTAATGTTATCTAAGAACCGAATCTAAATACAGCGCCGTGTGTAACGTGTCTTTCGCATTGCAGGTGTGTTAGCTGTCGTGTCCGTGTTTCATGTAGGAAGGTACGTGTACATGCGAAACGTAATATACAAACTAAAGTGAGAATGCGCGTGAATCATCAAGATGTGATTTATCCGAAATGTTGGCCGCCTCCGTGTTGCGATTTTGCGCGTTCATCCGAGATCGGTGGACCACCCAGTCTTACTTATGTAATCTATAAATTACAAGGGAGAGGAGATAAGAGAAAATAAGATATTAAAAAGAAATAAAACGCAGCAACGAAAGAAAATGAATGAAAGCGAAGAAGAAAAACATTGCTCCTTTCTTCGCGTCTTTCATCGATTCTCAATATTATTTTGGAAGATCGTAACATGGAGGCGCGCTTCTTTGTCGTCGAGTTATGCGATTAATTTTGCACGATTTATCGACTTTCGCCTCCTTTTATCCCTTCGGTATCCGAAATTAATTTTCTTTCTCGAGCGAAGAGCTATTCGTCCCGCGGGCAGAGGCACTTCTCTTTCCAGCACGTGAACAACGTCGATTGCGTTTCCCAACCGCCGCAAGCTCGCGATGAAAAGCTCGCTCCACTCGATCGCTCTCCTACGCGACTCCCCTCTTCTTCCTCCCACGCTCGCGCTTTCGCGGCTCTGAAAGCGAGCGACGACGACGCATGCACGCACGTGCGCTCCGCGTACTCTATGTCGAGTGAGATATAAAGGATGACGAGTGAGATATAAAGAGGACAGAAAAGAGGCAGAGAAAGAGAGAACAAATGTACAAGAATGAGCGAGTTGAGAGTACGAGACGGAGAGCACGAAAGACGACTTCCTCGACGATGCACGCGGCGTCGTGGGGGGGAGGCGCGGGGGGAAACGGAAGACGCGACTGACTTTGTCTCACAATCGGAGGAGCCTGACGGCCCAGGGACGCGAGTCAACGACAACGTCGTCGGACGACATCGTCCCGAACGACGACGACGACGACGACGACGATCGCGCGGTGATGTCCGCGTGCTGCTGCTACATCGGCGCGACCGCGTGTTGCTGAAATTGGTCGAGGTGCCTGGAGAGTTCGCGATGCAGTTGCTCGGGTGCCACGCCGACGCTGCTGAAGAGCGATCTGAGCACGTTGAGCTCCTCGGTGAGCAGTTCGATCCGCTTCTTCAGCAAATCGTTGTCCTTCACCAGCAGCTTCACCTTCTCCTCGGTCTCGCGCGACCGCACCTTCGCCTTCTCGCGGCTCTTCCTCACGGCGATGTTGTTCCTCTCCCGCCGCCGTCTGTACTCGTCGCTCGCCTTGTCGATGGCCTTGGTGGTCTTCCTGGCGACGTTGGCGGTAGCGTGATGCTGATGAGCCATCACCGGCCCCTTCATGGGGCCGCCTCGTGGCGGCGGCTGATGAATCGGCGCGCCCGGATGACTGCCGGGCACCGTGGATGGCGTCAGGGTGGTGAAGGTCTGGCCACCGTTGGCGAACGGATTGTTCGTCACCGGACTGTAACCATTGGGCGGATATTGCGGACAGTGGCGTCGATAGTCCGCCGGGTCGAGCGGCTCCTCCTTGATGCTGGGCGATTCCGAGCTCGAGCTGTTGCTGTCGCTGCAGCTGTTGCTGCCCTGATGATAGCTCGCCCCGCTGTGCACCGGCTGCGGCATGTAGGCGAGCGTTGTGCGCGGGTAGCCGCCCGTCCTCACGTGCTTGACGGCGCCGCTGTTAGCGCCGAGCATGTCCAGCAGGCCGTCATTGAAGTGATTGTCGTCGATCAGATTCTGAAGATCCAGCGAAATTTCCGGGGTGTTGAGATCGGTGAGCTCGCCGGCGGCGGCACAGTGCTCGGCGTACTGCTGATGCAGGGTCGCCTTGCTGGCGGAGACTTTGCTTATCACCGCGCTGTTCTGCTGCTGATTATGATTGTGATTGATCTGCAGCGTAGAATTGTTGTTCGTCGCGGCATTGTTGTTCTGATTGCTGGTATTGTTGTTGAGCACCTGGGACTTCTTCAGTTCGCCCGCACCCTGGGCCTGGACCTGATGGGCCGTTGAATCGTACATGACCGGTGATTCCATCGTTCACTCGCACATCACAGATGGGAACTCTTTTTGCGATTACACCAGAGGAGGACCACCTGTATACGTCCGTGCGTGCGTAGAAACGTCGGTCGGCGGTGCGCGTGTGTAGCGTCCGCCTCGCTGCTTCTACTTGTCCGTCCGTACGCTACCTCCCTCTCCTTCGGCCGACGTAGCGCGTACTACGTCGTCCGTGGCGAGCCGGCGGGAGATGAGGAGAGAAGACACCTCTCTCGAGGCGAGGAGGATCTCTCTCTACCGTCGTCGCACCGTCACCGTCGCGTACAACAAACGTACAAACCTCGTTTCCTCGAAAACGCGCGGCGTCGCAATTTTTTGACACTGTTCCAAGTACTTACTTAATGGTCCCCGGACTTATATTCCGAGACCTCGAGAACGGCGGCCGCACGTTCCGTCTGTCGACGACGTTGTCTCGTTAAACTGCCTGTTTAAATGTCGCCGTGCGTCAACGCGGTTTACTAACGCCCACGCGCGTGACTGTCGCTTCTCTATACGTTCTTTCGCCTTTCGCACTCGGAATACACACAGGGGGGGCCGAGAGAACGTGCTTGAGAGAACCCGATACGGCAATACAGACCACATGAGAGTTGGCGCGCAACTGAGCGCCTCGGCGGCATGTCGCAAGCTTTGAATGTGGTGCACGCCGCAAACCGCTCCGCGCGTCATTGCGCTTGCGCTTCCCTCCACTCTTTCCGCTTTACGCTCGCCTCCTCTCGCGAGCGGTCCTCTCGCGGAGGGACCGAACGCGAAGCGTCCGCCGCGCGCTCCTCCTCCTCCCATCCTCGCAACGTTCGCTTGCGAGTTAGCTGCCACTTCTCCTCCGGCTTCTTCTTCTCCTCCGGCTCTCGTTTTCCCTCTCTCTTTCTTTCTCGTTCACGCTTTTTCCGCTCGCTATCCACGCACGCCTCTCTCTTTTTTCTCGTTTTCCGATTTTCATCCTTTTCCCATATTTCCCTTCTCGTCTTCGACGTAATTCGGCCGTCTTTTCCTCCATTCCCCTTTATGTCCAGTCCATTCCGGTTCTCTCGAGAGCGTCACATTTTTTTTCTTTCTTTTTTTTTGCTATCTCTCATCCTCTGGCATGCTGCGGATCCGTCATAACTCCGCGCGACAGAAAAAGTTTTCCGGCGCTTGACTCTCCCGCTGCCATTCGCGCGATGCTGTGCGTACGAAAGGATAGTTTTTCTTCCATGCGCGATATACGGATTTCCCGCTCGTATTTGCTTCTATTTTTTCCAATGTAATCATTCATTGTTGATCACCGATATATTCAATTGTGAACTGAATTGAAATTAAATAGTAAATAAACTTTGATTTCAATCTCCCAAAATACACATCAATTACATATTCAATCGTCATTTAATTATTATTTCTATCAAAAAAATTATAAAATTTCATATCTAATGCGATGTACATTGTATGACGAAAAATCATTGCACGTATTATTTGACGCTCTGGAGATAATTTTTTTTTAAATAGCGATATCCGGTATTCATTCTTGAGTACGATTGAAAGTATTTGCAGCTGATACGAATGTCATCGTTTGCACGATATTGCGCAATCAGTGGTAATCAATTAAGTAGGATTTCAAATGTATTTTTTTTCGAGATTTTCGAGATTTGCATTTAAATTAATCTTTATTATAATTAAACCTTGTGTTAATTGGGAAATGCTTAAAATACACCTGAATGAAACATACACATTAAATCTTTAAAAGCTATTAATTTGCAGTAAATAAGTAGCATCTGCGAGAAAACTATACAGTTGCGTACTATTTCTGAAGTTTTGGACTTAGTAATTAAGATCTGTGATAAAAGATTATTTACAATTCTTTATTGAATTAGATTAATAACAGGTCAGATTTTGTTATCTTCTGGAATTTATGGTCATTTTTACCACTTTAGAGCATGTTTTACTTCCTTATTTATACTTTAGCTTTGATTGACTTATCGATCGTTGCAGTTCTAAAATATTTATCTCTACTCTCTCTTTCCGGGAAGTTCTTCACGCAAAATTTTTTTTAATTTTTAAACCGTCCATCCTTTTCCAATGTTATTGCTAGATCAGCCAGTTAAATTAATTAATTAATCGCCGAATAAAACTGACTTCCTGTGATAATTTTTTAAGAAATAAAGAACTGCGCGAAATGCATCGCGATTGAACGTTGTCGTCTCTACGAATAGGCGAATCATTGTTGCGTCATGTTTTGATTGTTTATCAACGCGAATTTTTATCTTAATATCGTGCGCGCAGTAGTTACGCGTACGTTGATCTACGAGCCAACGCAGGCAGACGTATATTAATCGCTGAACGATGATGAGTTTCTGCATATCACTGACTCGCTTGCGTCGATACTCTTGTCGTTATCAAGACACGTAAAAAAGAAAAAAAGAAAAAAAACGGAAGCCGACTTTTGCGCGATTCAATTAATACTAAGATTCGATCTCGTTAACATCCCTTACGGATCTTACTAATTAAGCGTCTTATGCGTTTTAAAATTTATATATATCTCTCTCTCTTGCACGTATATACATTATATAATAACTGATTATGAAACGAGAATAATAGAAACCTGCAAATTAACACGCTATTAATTTTTTTATTGTACTGTTTTTACGTTCAACATATTTTCTTCTTAAATGAGAGTGATTTTATTCTATGACCAAAATCTCTTCAATTTACTTAAGAAAGTATTTAATTCATTTTCTATCAATTATTTATAATGTTAATAGTTTAAAATAATAAAGTAATAGATTTTATATATTTCATCATATATTAAACAGCCTGCAAACTATAGATTTCTGACTGTACAAAGCCGTAATTTATTATTATTTCCATTGAAATGTTATTCAAATTTATTATAATCTAACATTTTATATTCTTACTAATACAGAATCAAAAAGCTCATATATAAATATTAGTTTATTTATAAGTTTATTTTATGCATATTTATATATATTATGATAATTAAAATTATCGTCAAAAGTAATCATAATAATCGTCAAGAAAAATAAGTATACAGAATTATTTCAATAAATATTAAAGTCAACTTAAATTTAATTTATGTTTTTTTATCATTATCTTCAAAGAAAAGAATAAATAATCAATTGTCAATGAATAGCAGTTAACTTTAACTAAGATTGGATTATATGAAATCACTATGAAACACACTCGCTTATCGATTAATTAATAATATAAATTTTAACAGTAGTAATAGGCATGCCAGGACGACACTGGTCAGACAACTGCAGTAACTTGCAGTAGATGAGGACGATTTTTGTGTGATCGGTCGTGCCATCTAGCGATACACATACAAACGACTTCTGTCGGTATGACATACGCAGATCGACTGCCGCCGAAAAGACTCGAGTTCAGCCGAATTTCCTCGCCGTGATAGCGACAACAAAAAAATTCGTGGTGATCGTGTAAAAAGTTTTCGGCGTTACGTATTTTTCGCATTCTCTCTCCAGAAGGGTGCTGGTCTCAGTCACATTGCCGCCTCGTCCAGGATTCGGCGGACCATCAACATCACAAAGTAAGGAGCGCGTGCTCGCTGTGTGAATCGCCTTCGCGTCGCGCGTTCGATCCCGCCTGTCGTGTTGTGGGCCGTGTGTTGTGTTGGGCCCGTGTGCGCTTTTTGACGGAATGGCCCAACAGACGCATGATGTTATGAAGTGTGCGATTTAGCGCGAACCCAGCACGCAATCGTCCACGTCAATTCGTCTGTCGCGAGATGATACGCTTCGCTTCGCGAAGCTCGACCGACTCGCGTCGCCGCGTCCCGTTTGCTCGGTTGTCGAGACGTCTTTTGGCTTAACCTACAAAGGATCGAGCGCGAGAAAATTTGTGCTTGCACGCTTCCGTGAAGTTCGTTTTTTCGTACTTTTTATTTTTAAATTCGATATTTACGATGCAATTCGTAGAAATTGTTTTGCGAACGTTGTTATACATTTTTTATTTGACTTGTGATTGAGCATATTTTTTTACGATCGTCTTTTTGTTGTACTTTGCTTCTATTTATTGTGTTTATTTTTATTCTTGTGTATACAAATACTTAAGCACTTAAGCAGTTCTGATCTTGATTAGCTAATGTTTGAATGTAATATTGTTTGTAGACTGCGTAGTCAGGCAGGAGTTATAGGGCAATCTCAGCATTCACAATGGCGGGAGAGCAGCAGCAGTTTTTTCTTAAATGGAATGATTTCCAATCGAACATGGTGTCATCGTTCAAGCATCTGCGAGATGAGAAAAGCTTCACGGATGTGACGTTGGCTTGTGATGGTCAAACTTGCAAAGCACATAAAATGGTCTTATCTGCCTGTAGTCCTTATTTTAAATCCTTGTTAGAGGTATGTCAACTTAAATATTACTAATGTTACAACAATTGACTACATACAAGTATATTAATTTTCTGCTTCATATGTGTTCCAGGAAAATCCGTCCAAACATCCAATTATAATTCTAAAGGATGTTGCGTACAGCCATCTGCAAGCCATTCTAGAATTCATGTATGCAGGTGAAGTAAATGTTTCACAAGACCAGCTACCAGCATTTCTCAAAACGGCAGACCGGCTTAAAGTTAAAGGACTAGCTGAAGCTCCCGGTGCCATTAAGAGAGAAGGTTAAAGATGCGCACATCATTATGGTATGTTTTTGATTATTTTCTTTCTGTAACTTCTGTAACTTTAGACGAATCTTTATTAAATAATTTTCCAATCTGAGAACTATTCTACCATTTTATCGAAAATTTTACCTTCATAAGCATTTGATTGTTTTATGGTTTACTTACTGTGTAATTTACATATTTATAAAAAAGAGGAGCCATAGGAATGTTGCAGCATTTGTTTCATAGTATTATTTTGGTGTTACATCGATTTATAAATTCTACATGAGATTATTCGACTTGTTAATTGAACAAATTTATTATCTGTAAGTAAAATCAAACATTCTATCGATGTAGGGAAAGATAAAGTATTTATCGCTACAGGAGAAAAAGGCGAATAGAGCAAATGTTTTCTTTTGCAGGTCTTTGAAAAGCATGTGGACTGAAAAAAAAAACAATGTAATAATGTAAAGTGATTGCAAAACACATACACATAACACTGACATACACATTACATCTATAGATATATAGTAAAAAAAAAAAAAGAACACACTTTGTGTGCACGACCCAATACCCTCCGGTTCATGACTTGGATCAACACGTGATGACAATGTAAAATAATGCCTTTTTCTTAATCTCAGTTAATGTTAACGGTTGTACTGACAGTGTGTATGCATATATACAAGTAGAGATGAGATGTTGATGTTTGTCTTGAACCCATTACGCCACATTGCGACGACAACAATAACAACAACATTGATTATTTTTTTAAATCGAAACGCCACGAGGCGCGAATAAGTGGGTCGCGGTAGTTTATAATACATACTGACCGGGGTAGTCTTGGTGGATCAAGTTGGAATTGTTGAGGACACCTGTTATAACGCCCGTTTTTTTCAAGCCGATCTACCTGACTCACTCAGCACTCTCATGTCGATTCCATTTGGTAGATCTATTCACGAAGTAGCGTTGTCTCGTTTGCCTTTTTCAATCATTCTCTATCATCAAACTGATCCCGAGGTCCAGTCTGTCGAAATGTGAAAGTTTTGTGTCTTTTTTATAAATATCTACATATATCGCTTTCATAGGTCGTTTTCATGGAACATCTGTTTAATCATGGTTTCATCATTATAAAGTTACGTTAGAGAATCGAATCACACAGGGCATTAATATCCTATAATCTCGCACCAGATTACGTGTAAATGTTAGTTGAATAACGATAAACGAAAGTATTTTATTGGCATCTAATCGGGAAGTTCTGCTTCTGTCGTGGATAGATTTGCGAAACCCCCGGCAAATCATTTAAAGAATGTCAAATCAAGTTTACTGGAAGTAGTAACGTACGTTTGATAATGTACATTCGGTTCTCTTTTGTCCACATTGCGAAGTGTTAATATTTGTATTAACATTAAAATGTTAATATTTTGGATGTCGGTCCACTGTATAATGTAAGCAGAAAAGAAAATAAGAAATATTGGAATTGTTCTATTGCAATCAGTCCCGTACAAGTTACCTCTTCTAGTGATCATGATTTTTTACTTAACCAAATACTGCCAGTATTTGTACCGGCGTATTCACAATATTACCGATAGACCAAATTTATTTATGATAATAATATATTAAGGGTTGAATGTCTTAAATCGAGGGAAGGTTATTGTAATATAAGCAAAGCAAATTTTTGTAAAGTTGGAGCGCACAGTTCCTTTTCCCTCCTGAACAGAACGCTCGGAAAAGTTTAGAAAAGAAGTCAGGAAACATTATCGAGTCAAGGACACAAAAATTGATTTGTTTTATTATATATTGTGTTTTCTTTATCAACGTGCAATCAAATATCAATCCTTCGCGAACAGGTCAATTTGGAGGATAGAGAATTTCAGTCCTGAAATAAATTGAAATAAAATTAAATTTTCAAATATACGCGGTTAAATTTGATGCAATAAATAAGCGCACTATAAACATTATAAAATTTATAGTGCAGGTATCGAATGTGTTGGCAATATCTCGATGCCTTCGCGAAGGGTTAATATTATTCGAATTTTTTTATTTATTCAACAACTTGGCAATGATTGTAAAAATTTAAATTTTCTTTGTTATTTAAATAAGTCCCTGCTCATAATTCCTGACTGCTGTTACTGTTTCTTGTAATAACATATCGAGGATTTCAAGCGTTTCGTGAGTTTTCCTTGCAAGTTAATTATCCTTGTGCCTAATGTGAGTTTATTCCAACATGTTTACAACCTTTACTTGGATTGTATGCCGAATTAGCACGAGTAAACTCCTACGAACATTGAATATCGATTTAGGATCGCACACATTCACGCATCGAACGTCAGTTATATTTTGCAAAATTTTATTGTAGCGCATTATTTTCTATCGATTTTGCTTCGGATGTTTCTGTGAATAGAATATATATGAAATGGACCTGATAGATCTTTACGGTTTCTAAGAATGGTTCACCAAAGAGAACTCACTGTTCGTAAGAATGTTTCGAGAATGTTTCGAGAACTCTACATGAGAAATCGCGAATCGTGTTATGGAACTTTGTTATGGAATCAAGGTAAGCAAGTTGTCCATAAAGATTTTTGCGTTAACAAGGATAAGTTCTGATAATTAATGGGACCATTCACATTAAAGCGGCATTAAAGCGATGTAAGAGTAGATTGCGAACATTTTACGTCTTCTCAGAATAACAATTCAGTTATTTGAGTGTTTCATATATCTAGCTTCATCATCTTTTGCAGTCATCCGATAGCAATATCGAGTAAATAAAGATTCGACGTTCATTCTCAGTATTTAACGCAGTGTTAAACGCGTGTCAAAATAAATGGGTTCAGTTCCTACAGTTAATACATTTGCCGGGCATTTGGTGGTTGAATGTGAATAGTTGTACCATGTACATTTGCTATGCTGTAAAAATTTGGAGTACAATTATTGTAGAATAGAAAAATCTCACATAGGAGTGACTGTTCGCGCTAAGTTCACGATTATGTCATATGACCTTTTCTCGCTACATTTCTCGCTTTATCACTTCCATGTTTATTTTTCGCATTCGAGACTCTAGATCGATTCCAGATCGATTGGCTTGCAAAAGTTATCGGAGCGAATCTCCCCCTCTCCACCCTCTCTACATTTCGTTATTTCGTTTCGCTATCCGTTCTGAAATTCGAAATCCTTATTGAAATAATAATTATCGTTACTTTTACGATTATACGACTCGATGATGATTATGATATGATGATGTTGAGATATAAAATAAATTGTGTAAATATACCATTTTTTGCACATAATTATCCTTGTTGCTCCGTGTCTTGTGCACATCCTTTATTATCTATCAGTCTTCCTTAAAGCTAATTGCTAAATCGTAAATAAATATTTAAGCCAATGTTCCAATATAATTCCAAAATTATATTCTTTATTGTACATAAAGCGTAATTTTTTTCTGCATAAAACGTAATACATTTGTAATTATAAACAAAGTATGATATAACGTATAAAAATGTAAATTATTATATTTTACACTATACTTAAAAAAGCTAAATTATATTCAAGTACTTTCTGAGGTAGAAACGATCTTGCATCTGTTCTAGTTTTTCAAACATGCTTGCTTCTTCATTATAATTCAGTAAGCGTGTCAAGTAGAAGTGACTTATGGTTAGTCCAATAGTATAAAAACTGTTCCGTACTTTCAAGTGGGTATTTTATCTTCGCTCATTTTCCAGATGGCTCTGTAGAATAAAATATCGAAAGTATAAGCGCGACACATTAAAAATGATATAAAATATTTCGCAGTAAGTAATGATCCACTCTTACATGGCGTTGGAAAATTGAAGACCGGATATCTTGGCGCGAAAGGTTCATTGGCCCCGTGCACGTAATTAGATTCGTCTTGATCTTTGATGCTATCCGCTCTTTGCATACATTCTTCATAGGATGGAGGTGCTAGATATAGAAAGAATCATTTTTTATCATTATCCTCCTTTAAAGAAATAATTTCACAAATTCTTGATTTCAAAATCTAAACAAGTTGTACGGAAGTTATGTATGTTTTCTGACTTTTAATTCTCCAATATAAAATTATTTGTTTTCTGTTGCAAATATTAAATTTCGAAAATAAAATTATCGATCGAAGAATTATCAAATTTTCGATGAATTGTGGTTTATAAAGAAAAAAAGTATCTACTTACGTATATCCCACTGATTTGCCGAGGTACTGGGTTGATTCGCAGAGGTAAAACCTATCGACGGATAAGGTGGTACATTTGGTGGTCTATAATCTGGAGACGTCGGCATTGGCGGTGGTGGGTCATAATCGTATTGCATAGGAGCTGAAGGTTGCGGTATAGTCTGCGTCTGAGGCGCGGATGTAATTATTGAATGTAGCGGAATCGTTCCGATCAAGATCGGATAACTTTTCGTGATACTGCAATGCCTGTCGGAAATTAATTTAAAAAAACATAAATCTTATTCAATTCTTTTTGGAAATAAAAAATGATCAAATATTTCTTGCAAATAACTTGTAAATTAATTTCAAATTTCGGTAATTTTAGAGAATTAACAAAAAAAAATTATAATGCGTTTATATTGTTTCCTGTTGTATTTTGGAATGATGTATACGTACATTCCTGAAACGTGAACTGTAATACGTAAGGTGTACTTCTGATCTATTATACTGCAATATTCCAGTTGGGATGGCGGTATTGGCGGAACTTGTAATCGTGACACAACCTCGGCATGTCGATCAAACGGTCCTGCACTTTGTGTGGCTTTCACGACTGACTTATCCGTCTTGGTTGTATTATACGGTGCCTTCGCGTGGAATTCTAGAGACTTTATAAACAGAAAAAAAATTGTTATTTTGTTAATTGAAAAAAATTATTATTTTAGTAAAAATTAGCTTGATAGATTAAATTATAGGCAGATGGTCTATCGATGATATATGATCAATAATTACTTTGGGACATGGAGATATTAACTGGAGGGACTAAATTAAACCTACCCGTTCTAATTTAACGCAGATCTTTGTCACGTCGACCCTGCTGGTATTATCAAAGTTAATTATTGTCTCTATTGATTGTCCTGGAACGAATCCTGTCATCGGTATTCTGAAATTCGCCTTTATCGCACCCATGTCGAAACAGCAAAAGCAACAAAAGCTTTCAGCGGTTTCATCGTCTATGCCGAGCTAATGAAAAATATTGATTGATTTTAACGAGATCGTTGATATTTTATTTGTGCATTTTTATTTTCGAGCAATTTCATTGTGTTGTATTGAAACAAAGAAAGTGCAAACTTATTTTACTCACACATTGTTGACTGTGAGCATTCAAATCGTAAGACGAGACCACGGTGAATGCAATTTTGCTCTCGTGATCAAATCTCCATGGTCTATCAATAACAGCTTTCGTCGTATATCTGATGTGACCATGCGTATGTTCGAAGCTGCATGGTATATTGTGGGGCAATGAAAAATTGAAAGGATATTTATGAAATCCCGCTGGCATCACCACTTCCCCATTGCCTAAAATTAATAATAAACATTCTTATTTGTTATGCAGCAAATAAAAATGTTTTATCGTCCTAATTCGCAATTAATTCAAATTAACGGTTAATTAAACTGAATCGTTTATCTGAATATTCGTTCATATATGTTATTGCAAATTTTTCTTGCAAATGTGTCTTGTAAAATGTAATGTCTTATAAAATTACCTGTATTTCCCAACAAGTAATAAGTCAGATTAAAATATTGCTCGCTCGCTTGAAAATGGTCAACGTGGGTGTGACTGCGTCCTTGAGAATCCTTCGTAGTCCTTCTTCTCTCCCAGCTAACATTAGCTTCTCCCTTAATTGACAATTTTACCGCTGCAAAAATATCTTTATTTTTATCTGTTTATTTTAGATTGTGTTAAAAAGTATCTTATATATATCTTTTTTGAGCATTTAAAGCAAAAAAATTTGTAAAAATTAATACAGTTGAAAAAATTCCTGAAAATATTTCTAAAATACCAATAAATAATATATAGTCAGTCAATAAATAATATATAGTAGAAACAGCATAATTGGAATATATATATATATATATATATATATATATATATATATATGTATATTCTCATGAAAAGTCCAAACGAGAATAAAAAAAAGATTTTATTAATGTTTTTCATTCACAATTTACGAGATATATAACGAGAACTAATACATTAATTCCAACAATGTTGCGTCACGATGGACTCCACGCGAAGTTCAATGTCAGTTGAAACTTATCAATAGAATTCGCAGACACGTAGCATAACCGTGCATTATATAATTGATTATCACTGGTATGCACAAAGTAATTGTAAGAATGATAAAATCATATATTATGCTCCCGAATAAGATCAGTTTTTAAAGTAATTTAAGTGATGAGCAATTAAGATCATCTTCTGTCTATTTTTAAGTTGTTTACTGTTTAAGTTCTTGGCTTTAGGTACGCAGACTGAAATATGCATAGTCAATTTCGAGATGTTTGAGAAATTAAAAGCATTTAGAAACTCATGACTTTATAAAATGTAGCACTTGTTATCACATATAACGATAGAGTCCCGGGAAAAATGTATTGATACATCATATTCTAATACAATATTAATAATGATAAGAATGAGTATAATAATAGCGAACAATAATAATTTTAATAATTGCGATTTCGCTCCTGAGATGCACAATAAAACGAGATAAGACTTGAGTGAGTTTTTGTATTTAAACTATCAGGATGCGGTTTCTGATATCTATAACGTTCTGATATCCATATACAGTTTATCACTTCTTATTTTTATTTAGGTTACTCAATTTTTAATATATATTCTTTTTCAAATTGAATTTATAAAGTGCGAAACAAAAGTCTTATAACATTGCAGTAATATCAGTGTCACGTTTCGCACATGTGGTTCTTAACTTATGTTGCCAAGTGACGTCATACCAAGCGTCTGACAGGGAAGTCTTTGTAATTGACAGAACCCTACGGCAATTGAGCAATCAATGACAGAGAATGTCTGATACCTCATTTTTTAGTTTTGAGAATAAAAGGTATCGATAGCATATCGTGCAATTTATATTGTATAAGAACGATTGTATAGAAACTATTCTTTTAAACACGTATTACACGTATTTAATTAAGTTAAATGTGCTTCAATATAATTGAAATTTCTAACTTAATTAATTAACGAGATCATTGCATTGCAATTAGAATAATTAATTTTTTATTCTTCTTTTTTACAGAAGTGCAAAGTTTTAAACTTTCAAATCCATTTTTTCGAAATGCTATAGATACCACATGTACTTATTACTGAAATTTCTTCGTTACTCCAATTTTTCCTACAGAATTTTTCCTGCAGAATTGGTATTAAGATATTATATTTATTCTCACATGTAATTCAAACAACATTCCTCACATTGAGAACCTGTTTTTCCCTTCTCACGACACTGGTTTCACACTGGCACGCATTTTTACACACGAATATACGCGCACTTCGACGACGGGACGCGTTCGCTGGCGCCCGACGCTCCTGCAACGCGGCGCCGTCGTCGTGATCGCTCGATACTGCTTGATCGCAAACCTCAAAGCGGCGACACGTGTTGGACGCTATTTACCTCTGACAGTCTTTACTCTGGCTAGATCGACGATGACATTGCCGGTAACGAGTTCGCCGGGTGTATAAGTTGCACCCGACCGATCGAACTCGATGCGAAAAGTTCTCAGCGACGGCATCTGGATATATGTTGAAATCTGGTTTTCGAACCGGATTGAGAGGAAAAACGATCGACCAAAAGTCAAGGCGAGGAACACCGGATACAACCAACACACACGACGTTCACCGACTGATTGCGAGTGCGATCCTCCTGCGTGCCGCTAGTACCGCGTGTGCTGACTGCTTATATTGCCAGACCGACGCCAACGAGCGTCAAGTCGTGGGCGCATTCAAGTCAGCACCCCACCATAAATGTTATCAGGGCGCGTGATGATAGCTCCGTAATGGTCTCTCTAACTATACTTGTTTTTGTTTAACTATTCATAAATTACTGAGAATTTCAGTGAGATAAGATGAGAGGACATCTGTAGAAAATTTTTGGAGCAATATTTTCAAAAATAATTTCGAAAAGTAATTAATGTAGGAAATATTTCACAGAACAAAACGTTATTTCTCTGCAAAATTTCTAAAAAAAAAAATTATATCTGTATGATTGAATAAATCATAATAAAGATATATTTTTCTAATATAAGTTTTAATAATAATTAGGAATTTAATATTGCACATAACTGCAAAATATCTGAATCATATAATGATCATCCCACGCAACGGGGGATGTAAAATTAGCTTTCATAAAATGTTAAAAACATGATTCATTGTTCACTAACTAATATATGTCGCATGTAGTTATATTGTAGTTAGATAAAAATGTTATTCTTCAACTCCGTGTGTGGAAAACCAATACTGCAATGCATACTAGAAATACTAAACACGAATACGTCATTGTTGTACGTCATAGTAACGTGAATATTATCAATCGACGAAAATCATGAGTCATCAATCTTATTTATAAAAATAGGTAACACAAATACAATTAGTAGATAAGATTAGCAGATTAGATCACTCGATATATTACGCATAGTGATGTCCGCTCCCCTTGGGACCGTATTACTGCATCGCGAGTGACGTATTTTTATTCTTTATCGGACCATTGGGAATGCGCTATTTCCGCAAATGAAGTATTTTTGTTATTCGTCAGACCTACTAATGGTCAATCGATGTTACGCTGCATCGCGTGTTCCACATTTCTATGCAAGTTTATTAAAGCTTTATTATTCGATTGTCTTAATCGGTTGATGAATCGAAAATAAAGATAATTGTCAGAAGCAAGCCCAGATAATCAATCTGATAAATTAGGAAATAATTCTTTCATATTTAATGTGGATTATTCCAAGCAAAGGTGATTGAATGGTAATTGCATGCATCAATACTTTATCTTTAAATTCATACTGTACGCATTCGCTATCTGGTGGTTTCTGCTGCTACTAACTTTGCACTCGTATGATATGATATCCGCGTGGTTATGCGGCGAAATCGATATTCTTACAATAATTAAATTTTTAGTATTTGTTTTAACTGATAGGGTAATGCTTCCCTTTTTTTAACGAGAATAATTCCAGAAACTTATATTGAAAAATTTACGTCACGTGTAGTGCAGAAAATATGAATGCAAGCACGATTATATACTAATAATAATTGATTCTCAGTGAGACTTATATAATATGCTACATGCGAAAAAGAAAACAAGAAAAACATTACAAGATAGTTTTAAAAATAATGTTCTTCTTCCTTCGAATTTTGAATTCTTTATTTTCTGAATCACTTCCTTCCTGTACACATTTTACACATAAATTTAAATTAAATGGAAATAACTTATTATTATCAGAAGAAAACATGTTTCATCTGATATGTGGGGAGTTATATGAGATCACATAATTTTCATTTAATACTTCTCAGGTGAATCTGTAAGAATAAAATATTGATAACGTAACGAAACCGACAGAAATAATAGAGATCAATTGATATAATTATCTCACATGGCGTTGAGAACTTAAAGACCGGATATCTTGGCGCAAAGGGCTCATCAGCACCGTGCACGTAATTAGATTCGTCTTGATCTTTGATGTTATACGCTTTGTTCGTGCAGCATTCTTCGTATGATGGAGGTGCTAAATAAAAGAGACAATTTGATGTTAAATTCTCGAATTTAAAATTAAAATTTAATAATTTTCGCTAACGTAATTATACTTTAGAATTTTGATGTCCGCGAAAAACAATTTTGAATTATAGTTTTATGATATATGAGAATTATTGATTTCGTTCGATATTGGCAGGATTTGTTGGCTGATAATAAATACTTTACGTACCATTAAAAGAATCGTTTGTCGGCGGTGAGTCTGGATAAGACGTAATTGATGCTATATCAAGTTCTGAAGGCATTGGCATGATTTTGTTTTTCGATATAAATTGAGGCTCATGTGGAGAAGGCGAAATTTCAGGCGCGGATGGTGCAGGTCGCAGCGGTATTGTTCCGATTAAAACCGGATACTTCTTAGTGCTGTTGCAATGCCTGATGAGAGAAATTGATGCAAATGAATGCATTGTAACTGGACAATCTTCGAGCGCGTAAAATATTGCATAATTAAAATTCATCTGATTTATTACTATTTTTCCTCGCGAAATATACACGTACATTCCTGAAACGTAAAATGTGATCTGTAGAATATAATTCAGGTGAATTATACTGCAGAATTCCAATTCCGAAGGTGGTATTGGTGGAATATATAATCGTGACATGATAACATCATATTTAGCAAATGGTTCGCTATTTTCCATTAATGCCACGGTTGAATAACACCGCTTCTTGGCCGTCGTTGCGTGAAGATCGATGGACTTTGTAAGCAAAAATTAACATCTGATCAAACATTCTGCACGGAATTCATTCTAACCAATCTGTATTAGATTATCTGCATTAGATATTACATCTTATTTTTATTGTACATTGTATGCAAATTAATAATACCTGCATTAATTTAGCCGAGATTTTCTTCAAATTGGTAATATTTTTTAATTCGAGAGTCGTCTCGATCCATTGTCCCGGAACGAATCCTGTCGTTGGTATTTTAATACGCACATTCATCGAGCCATCGTCGAAACAGCAGAGGCTAGAGAAATTTTTGCTTAACTCATCACATATACCGATCTAATAAAAAACACGTCATTATTTTTTGTATAGTTTCTATTTTTATATTTCATATAAACAGCTATACTTATATTGTGTAGCTTAATTTCGGAAGTGAAATAATTTCAACTCACGCATTGCTGATGACGCATATTTAAGTCATAAGCTGTGATCACAGTAAACGCAGCTTTACACTCGTGATTGAATCTCCATGGCCTATCGATAACAGCTTTTATCGTATATCTGATATGACCATCGACATGCTCGAAACTGCATGGTATGTTGCAGGGTAATTTGATATGAAAAGAGTATTTGTTTAATCCTACGGGAATGTGTACTTTCCCATCGTCTAAAATAATGACATAGTAAAATATAGTCATTGTACATAGATACTACAGAAATTTTATATTTGTTATTTTGATATAGTTTATAAGCAAAATTTATTTTATGCACAAATAAAATTTTGTTTGTTATAATATAAAATTAATCTTTTATGGATGACATAAAACCTTCTGTTCTTTCCAAAAGAGGAATAATGAAATTAAAATAATTCTCTGTTTTATCATAATAAGTTGTGTCAGATCTTGAATTTCCATCAGCATCTGTTGAGCTTGTACTTTCACTCCAACTAACAGTAGCTTCTCCCTTAGCGAATAATTTCAGTGCTAAAATATTGTTTATAAAAATTCGACTTTATGTATTATTAAAGGAATTTATTAAGCTTTGTCAATCAATCAATAACTATCTTAAAGGATAGTCCTCAAAATAAAAGATTAATTAATTAATGTTTATAATGTATAAACAATTATAGATATAAAATAATTGTAAATAGTTGTGAGAACATGTCATGTTATGTGCAATTTTGGGATTGAGACTTTTGATCGAGAAATTGAATTAAATTATTTACCTCTAACGATTTTCTCGTTAGCCAGATCAATGATAACGTTACCACTGACAATTTCACCGGGCACGTAAATACCGTCCGGTCGATCAAATTCGATGCGAAAAATTTTTAACGACGGCATTTCTACGTTGTAATGCACTTATCTGCCAAGATCTCGCTTTTTGAGAAAAGTCGAAATTGACTGATCGAGATAACGTGTAAACACAATGAATGTATGTATACTAGGCGAGTGACGGACTCGAACTGACTTTGTCGGACACACTAAGCAGTATCGCCATTTCACGATAAAACTGTTATGCGAATAGCCTCCTATCAAGATGAGGTATTCAGTTGACACCATTTAAGTGTATTACTATACTTACGTAGTAAAATATTTTGTGATAACGTGTTGGCGATTCTTATCAAAATTAGCGAGAAATATGAAATAGACAATTATTTACATATCTAGTGTTTCATAAATATTATTTAAAAATTTAATAGAATATTATTAGGAGATGAAATACAAATAACAACCATAAACAACTGTTTCGTCGTAATAGTTCATTTTCTGTTAATATAAAACTAAAGTGTTTTACTTTTAATTTATTTATCACTTTATTTTAATTTATTACTTAACGGACGGTGATAAAAAGACATGAATAAATATAATGTGCACATTTGTATTTTCTTTCAAATCTAATCACTTAAAAGCAATTGGAACGTTTTTATCGCACGTTCGATATCTACTAACAACACACGGATAAAAACAGCTATTCATTATCGTGAAGAAAAAAGGTATATTTCAATTTGGTCTAGCGACAGTACATCGCATATTGCACGATTTTATGCAAGCTTACCAAATTGACGATTGCAAAATGTTATTTAACTGTTTTCTAAAATATTATTTGATTATTAATATGGACAAGTAATTTATAATTAATATATTAATTTAATTTAATATTATTAATGTAATTTATATAATTCCTAGATCTTAAAATGCATTTAAAATTATTGATGTAGAAACAAGATTTATTCCAGATTTTTTATCACATTCTTCAGCTGTGATATGAAATCAAATCGATAATATGAGTGGGTAGTGCAGAACCATCGCAGTAAATATCAAATAACAAACGTCAACTGTAATGATATTGGTATTTCTGGTCTCGGAGGTAAACGTGCAGTGTAAACTGTCTAAGGTATTGAGTTCAATTCAAAATCAGTCGTGAATTTTACAGATATTTACATATGATTTTGACGAGATTGCATTGAGTGAAACGTAGGATAAACGGTGACTTTTTCACAATACTTTCACTGCATGTATCTGCTCTCTGGTGGCCTTTGATATCACTTGCTTCTCATGTACAAACACTCGAATGATATATATATATATCATAAGTTTTCCAATTTTAGTTAAAAACTTGTTGTTAGTTGTTTGAAGTAAATATATTATATCAATTTTATCTGAAACAGAAATGAAGCAATACTACTAGAATGTACTTTTCAATAGTTTTTTAACCGATTAAATTTTTACTGTATTTTTAACTTTTAGCCAGTAAATTTAGTCAGACGATACACTGTAAAAAGAGTATCTATATATATTTATTTCTTTCTATTTTATATGAATAATTTTAAAGTTATAATATAATAAAAAAAAATTTTTAATGTTATAGAGCTTTCTGCGAGATTTATTATTTTAATAAAAATGTTATTTGATAACGTTGAGTTTGAAATAATATAATTTGTCTCTTCTCTGTCTGCAAACATTTAATATTCGCTATAGATATTCGAATTCAATTTGGAATAATTTATAAAATTCAATACTATTCTAAAAATAAACAAAAGGGTCGTATGACTCTAAAATCTACGCAGTGATGTTAATTGTCTGTGAGTCGAATTTACAAATTAACGAGAGGGTCAAAATCAGATACCTGTGAAAGGCCTTTACAGTACTACATGCTGTAGTGCCTTACTGATTAAAGGCCAAGCTCGATAAACGGGTTTCGACCAACATCAGAGGCAAATATTAGATTCCACAGCATGTACCTGCGTATACCAAACGTCTACCTGTTGGACATTGTTGCAGCAGAGCTTGACCGCAAACCTACAATGTCTTGGTGAGTTCCCTTAGCGTCAACACAAACGCAATCTCATCCAATAAATTGTTCCGGTACTATCGACAGGGAATACCTCTTGTAGGCTAAGAAACGAGTTAGTTGTGAACTTGAAGATTGACATGTTAGATCTTGTTAAATCTTATATTTCAACATAGAGAATATATATAATATTATGTGTGTACGAGTTCAAAATTTTTCTCTTATTCACAAGTTTCATAAAAGAGATGTCTTTAAAAATATTAGATTTAATCTAATCGTATTAAATAATTATAGAAATAGATATTTTTAATTTTTTAGACAGGTATCAGTTTATATTATATAATTTACAGCATCTCTCTTTCTTTTTCCTTCTTTGAAAAACATCTTCATAGTTTGTGTAAATACAAAACATACAAGGTAGTTCAAAACCTTAATAAAAAAATATTGCACAAATGAATTTAGTAATATCCTATTTAATTTAATATAATATTTCGCTAATATAAAAACGTTATATTTTTATTAAAAAAAATATGTTTTAAAATCGTTAAGAGAAAAATTAATTTCATAAAAATTGCTAATATTAAATAACATCGAATGAATGCGAGTTGTTGGAAGAACACGTGCGGAGAGAATAAAGCCCCGGGGCCGGGATGATGCGGAGGGGTGGGTTTGCGGCGAATGCGAAGCCAGGGTAGCTTGCAACCCCTCAGTAGCGTGCCGGCCATCGCCGAGGTGGCACTTCGAGACATCGACATTTCGCTCTCCTCACGACGCAAAATTCGATTGAACTTAACAAGTGTGTCTTCTCGTTAAAGTTCGGAGTTCTTTAATTAACGGAACGCGAAACCTCACGTTTCAGTGTTGAAATCGTTCTAGACATCACGACCACGATCATCGTTTGATGACGTAGCGCAGTTAGACAACGTGACGACATTCTTCGTGACGACGACGTTCAACAGGTTAATCTCTAGCTGGCTAACTGACTAACTCGTGTATCGCTATCAATTAGCGAATAATCTTGTCGTATCTGTTTACTTATAAAAGTCGTCGACACGCGTGTTGTATTATTTATCAGTTTAAATACTAAGTTGTGTGTAGATAACTATCGTTTACATATTGTTCTATGCTGCTTGGAAAATGGCTTTCGGTGACTGATAAAATTTTTTTATCTCAGTACAATAGTGTTTTGTGATAACGTCTTGGGAGAGTAAGTAAGTAGAAAAAATTTGATTGAAACGGAAAATGTTAATTTATAAATATTTATTTGACAAATTTTTATTTTTTCTTTGATTAAATGTCGTTCTTTTTTAGAAATGAGTTTACTGTTCCATCTACATTAAATATCGTATTTGAACAGTATGCTCTACAATTAATAGCTATGTGTCAGTGTGATTATAATTTAAAGTGTTTCATGTTTTTTTTATTTTATTTAAATATGTATATATATATACATCTATGTTTCGCAAGGCAGTCGATCGTGAACTTGACATATGTGCGTTTTAACCCTGCGGTTATAGGTCATGCGATATATCACAGTAGCATCGTTTCCCATTGAGCCATAATTAATTACATACGAATCAATCAAGTATAAAATTTTGCAAATTAAAAGCAATTTTTCGTTTAATTAATTACGTTTAAATTGATTTTTTATACAGATAAACAAAAATAAAAAAAAATACAAAATAACCAAATAAATGCTACTTGGATAGCTCTCTGAAAAATTTTATATAATAAGCATCATATTTGCAAAATGCTTCTTTTTTTACACGTGTATTTTTATTCTTTAATTTTGATGCACGTAAAAAGCTACTGCTATTATAATCATTTACAGATTTGTATATATGCTATATGCGGAAACAACTTTATAATAATTTTAAATAATTTAGTTATATATCTTTTAATTGAATTTTGATGCAGTACAATTCCGATCTCATGTTTGACAGACAAGAAAATCCGTACATTGGGAACCAAGTCCAGCGCACTTGTCTCGCGATACTCCGCCACCTCGTAGATTCTCATCTGCGCGAAAACGAAACCGTCGGGGCAAATCCGTTGAAATGAGAAGGGTTACCGTCGTAGACGGTAGACGGTTTACCACTGGCGAGATAATTTACGAACGTAGTCTGAAAATCAAGCATTTCTGCGATGCGAGAATGAAAAAGCCGCTTAGTTGGTATCAATAAACACGATCCGGGACATTGATCCGTCAAAGATAACGCAATCTGGAAAAAAGGTAAATCCGTCAGAAAGACCCTGTGTCGGAGATGGCGACCAGCAGTCCCGGACAATCGATCCATCTCAAGTCTCCGAGGAGTCCGCGACAGCTGCCGGCGCTCCCTCGCCTTCATCAGCAGCAAGTGCCGATCGGCGAACAACGGAGTCCAACTCACAGTCAATCGGTGATCAAATCGCCCGGCACGCCGCTGGTCTTCGAGTTTCCGCCCGAGTACTACCCGGAGACGCCCAACACGAACTTCGACTTCGACGAGTTTGGGCGCGCCGGCGAGCACGAGCAGCAGCGCGCGCCCAAGAGTCCCAATTATTACTCTCGCGCGACGGGCCCGCCGCGGAGCCCCAAGACTCCGAACAGCGAGATCCTGCACTCGCCCGGCCGCAAGTCGCCCATCTTCCAATTCTGCGAGCCGCGCAAGCAGAGTCTGAAGCAAATCACCAACTACCCGACGTCGGTGATGAGCGATCGAAGTAGATCGGTCAATTCGTCGTCGTCGTCTAGTTACGGTCCGAGAAGCCCGAAGCCCTTCGATCGGCGAAGAAGCTCCTGCTTCAGCCAGTCGAGCTTGAAAAGTCCCATGTCACCGACGATAGTAACTCCGACGTCACACGATGCGATCAGTCCGACGTCGGATCGAAATTCCGAACTGGATCAGAAAGCTGCCGGCAGGGAAAGCGGGACTTACAAGAGCAACGGCTCGAGCAAGACAGCTTCTTTGGAAGGTCCTCCCGGTATGCAAGAGAAAACCGCTGAAGGAACCGGCGAAAGACAGAGGGGTGTAAAAATGAGCGGGCATGTACACAAGAGTCAAGGATGCCTGGATGAGGCTGGCAGAGGTTCGAAAGCGTCGAACGCGAATTCGAGACACGGGAAGGGCGAGAAGAACATGTCGCGACGATCAACCAGCGATCTAACAGATATGAACGATGCCGACACCGAGATCACTCTACTATCCAGTCCTAGAAGGAGAGGCTCCATGAAGGGCGGCCTCGGTGAGTCTTTTCACTTTCTCTTCTTGATCTATCACGCTTGATTTATTCTTGATCACGCCCTTTAGATATATATAGACCCTTCATTTGTATATCGTTCCATTATTCAGTTCTCTAATTTCTGAAATTTCGCTCTAACGACGCCACGAGCAGGCTATAAACGACGGCCGATGGTCTCGGGAGCCACAAAATGTTTGCTCTCCTGACAAGAATTGGTCGATTGAACGTTATATCCTACTCTCGGTTGTATTGATTGTATGTACGAAGTATATTCGAAAGGTCCTTCAATCTAACGAGCTCTTTCCTTTTCTAATTTTGTCAATTAAATTTATTATTTTTGCAATTAAGATTTTTTTCCTTGCTAATTTTTTATATTAATATTTATATCGGTAAGCGAAATTTTTTGAGGCGCAATTTGAATATTAATGGAATGTAAAGTAGTTACATTCTAATATTTGTAACATGCCACGCGATTATGAGAGATATTTTTTGCGCGCAGCATCACGGTTATAGGATTCTTTGTTATAGTGAGTGCTACGCAGCACGATTTAGATGGAAACGAGAATTACAGCGACCGTACGGCACGTGAATAACCCCAGGCACGTGTACATGCGCTGTCGATAATTGGCCTCCGTCGAGTGAAATTTGGGATTTTGCTACGGCAAAATTCGCGGCCTACGAACCATTTGCCCTTTAAATCTGATCGAGGACTCTTTTATCGATGAAAATGATAACGCGTTAATACAGGCGTAATATAGGCATTGTAATTTACGTACTAAGTGCTTTGTAATTTATACGTGCGCGTATACACAGGAAACCCTGATAATTGCTTTTCGACATGAACCTGCGGCGTGATCGGCTCGTCATTGTGCTAGCTAAGGCGACGAATAAAATTCAGTTTCTTCAGCGTCTGATATTTTCAGTATCTCTTTCTCCTTAAATCTTCTCTCGTTTCTAAGTTCTCTTTTTTTTTTTTTTTTTTTGCGCCACCCTGCTAAAGTCTCTTTTATCGCGTTTTTTACTTCTTATACTTCTCTCACTCTTGGGTCATTCTACTCTTACAAGCAAGATGAAAGAATCAGAGAGGGAATGTACCCTTGAGATTTAATCCTCCGATCCCCTTCAATCATTGTTGTTAAGACTTTCATTAGGATGGTGGGAAAATAACATCGCGAGGAATTGTGAAATCATAAATGCGCCAGCACAGTGTGTATTCGCGAGTTATATCTCTCACGTCATAATCGTAGATATTATTTAAATTCCAATCGATTACGTTCGTATATAGCGCTCCGATCATTCCGACTGTCGCACGAGGTAAATTAAATCTGGATTGGATTCATCGAGAAGCACTTGGATGAAATATTTAATGAACAGGGGCGTGTTTAAAATTTTCGCGGTAATGCTAATGAAAATGTTATCACAGTGTCGTTAGAAAAAAATAAAATATCGTTCGGCAATATTAATTTTCATATACGCGTTTTTGCATCGGCTCCTAAAGAAGCGCCACTTTCATATTGCTCATTGAGAATTTATTCTCTCGAGCGTACACGAGTCGTCGGTCATGAAAGTTTAACGGGTATAAACAACGCACGGTATTTACGATGAGCATTGCCTCAAACGCTCGCTGCCTCTCGGTCGACGTTATATCTGTATGTGTACTGCGACCGTATAAAGACCGTATGGAACGCATCGCGATGCGGTTTATCTTTGATGATCCCTTTTGAGCGTTGCACTACGCGCTGCGAAATTACTGGATTTTCATGAAGCTCTTGTGCGTGAGTGTGTTGCAGCATATTTGGCGTCGAGGCGTAGCTCTCGTGACAGTCAATGCTCCAACATGTCCAACATCACCAACGAAGACGTGGGCCCGTTAAATTTCAGCGCACATCCACGCGGCCGTCAACGAAGGACTTCGAATTTTCTCGAGCTGCCGGGTAAGTACCTTTATTATTTATTTGTGAAAAACGTGTACACAGTCGTTCTCGAATTTTCGACATTGGCAAATCCTATCTGAGATACTTTTTACACGTAATATTATATAATGTGCGATAAAGGCAAATGTTTACAGAAAGAACTACGCTATTATTTTACCTAATTATAGCTACTTGCACACATTTTCCGTCTTTATATTGTTAATAAAAAAATCTTCCGAGTTAAAGAAAAGATTTAAGCAACTTAATTTTTCTTATTTATTATCTGAATGTTTTATTTGAACATTATCTGAACGTTCCTATGTTGAGATTTGTTCTCGACTCTTCAATTATAATATTATTGAATAAAATCGCAGCATTTAACATCGAGCAAAATGAGTTCAGTGTATAATTTAAATCAACATTGTGTTATATAATTCAATATTAGAGATGTAATTTTAAAATTATAAATAAGGTTGAGAGATTTTGTTTTACCTGCTAATCAATTTCTTTGCGCATCGTAAAATATATACATAAGGTGAAGGTTTATGGAAAGAATATCGTACATTGTACTTACTTAATTACAGTTACTGGCACATTCTCCGTTTCAATATTTTTAGTAATAATATACTTTTCCTTGAGGAAAAATTAAAATTAGTTTATATCCTGTAATTTATAAGAAAAAGAGCTTCTCAAAAGTTTGTACTTCTAGTGTAAAAATTACAATTCTTTTCGCATACTTTTCTACATCTTAGAATTCTCTCTTCTCTCTCCTCTTTCTTTTTTCATGAATATTCTGTTATATTTCTGTTATGTTTCCATTCATTACATTTTCTTGAACATTCTTACTTAGATATTTACTCTACTT